TGACCACAGTCTGTCTGTAGAGAGAGGTGTGTGTGTGTGTGTGTGTGTGTGTGTGTGTGTGTGTGTGTGTGTGTGTGTGTGTGTGTGTGTGTGTGTGTGTGTGTGTGTGTGTGTGTGTGTGTGTGTGTGTGTGAGCAGAGACTGTGTTCTCTGTGCTCTCAGGGAGAGGTGGAGACAGAAGAACACTTCCTCATACACTGCGATCACTATCACAGCATTAGATCGGACTATTTCACTAGATTTCAACAGCTAGAACCAAATTTTATGGCATTGCCAAATTCTGAAAAATTAATTCATATTTTGGGAGAAAACTCTTACTCAATCACAACAGCAGCAAAGTATGTAATAGCCTGCCACAAACTACGAGAGTCAGCCAGTGGACAAAACTAAAGTCTGAATGTTTTTTTTGTTTGTTTTTTTGTTTTTGTGTTTATTTTCATTTTGATATATTTCATTTTGATTCATTATGATATGAATGTAATGTATATTCATGCATTTGTTTACATTATTAATTTATTGATTATTTGTTCATTGCCTATGTAATGGCCAATGCTTTGGCAATACTGTATAAGTCATGCCAATAAAGCTCATTTGAATTTGAATTTGAGAGAGAGAGAGAGAGAGAGAGAGAGAGAGAGAGAGAGAGAGAGAGAGAGAGAGAGAGAGAGAGAGAGAGAGAGAGAGAGAGAGAGAGAGAGAGAGAGAGGCAGGCGCGGGCGCGATGGAACAGTAACAATGTTGTTTTTAATACCTCGTCATTATGTTCATACAGGACATCATTCAAACTGCAAAGTGTTAACTTGTTTATCCTCGCCAGCCATAACCTCCGTCGTTGTTCTGACAAAAGCTTAGTCTTCTCATATTCATAAAGTCTAAATACGGGTATACTGTAAAATCCAAATTTAAATTAATCCTCGGCACGATTTGAACATCCATTGACCCAGCAGGAGATGACCATTTCCCCTTTTTATCACGAAATTAACTCGTTTCAGCTTCTTCTTTATTCTGCCCACAACATGCGCACAGAAATGGCGTCGGATCGGCAAATGCCCACGTATGTTGTGACGTCATGTATGTATAGATCAGTGGTCAGAAGAACGACATCAGTAGGCGGGCCAAGATGGCGACCTGGGTAGACGCTTTCCTGTGAGCTCGTGAATTTTTCAAAGTACCAAACTTTTAGAATTATCCTAATGGACTCAAAGATTGTTTTCTGAGAAGTGACTTGTTGCCTTTGTATTTTATGCACGGACAGTAGGAATATTTAACCTAAAAAAAGAGAAAAAAGTGAAGTTCTTCCTTCGTCGCGTTATGAAACAGTGAACCGGCTAGCTTATAAAAGAGAAGTTAGCAACGTGACAGATTAGCACTGACAATATGGCCAAAAAAGAAGCAAGACGCAAGGGAGGACTGATAATGGACCTGGAGTCTGATGCTTTCCCAAACTTATGTTCACCTCTTCCTGAAACCCCTCTGAATAGCCCCAGTCCAAAGAAGGTCTGCACTGAAATTTCGAAGAAAGGAGCGGAAAATGTGTCCAATGCTGATATCCTGAACGCTATTCACGGACTGAATGACCGATTCTCCAAGTTTGAAGAAATGGTGAACAAGAACACGGCGGAGATTGTTGTCATGCAGGAGCATATGAAAGACCTTGGGATGCATTGTAAGGCGACAGATGACATCGTGAAGAAGCTGAACGAGCGAGCGACTGCAATTCAGGAGCGGCAGGAGGAGGCTGAGAGATATAGCCGACGATGGAATCTCCGTCTGCTTAATCTCCCGGAATACAGCAACGAAGATGTGAGAAAGGAGGTGCTGGAAATAATCGCCCAGATCATTCCAGAAGAAAAGTCCAGACTTGGGTTCCTGGTAGACACTGTACACAGAGTGGGGAGAAATAAAGATGACAACAAACCACGTCCCATTATCATGCAATTCACCATGCGCACTTTCCGACACAAAGTATGGAGAGCCTCCCTCAACTCCGATGTGTTGAAAAGGAAAAATCTACGGATGGCAGAGGACCTCACTTACACGGAGAGACAGTGCAGGAACAAACTCTGGCCAATGGTTAAACAAGCCCGTGACGAAGGGAAGAAGACCAAATCGATCGGCCCGGTGGCCATCATTGATGGTGTAAGACATACAGTTTACAGGGGTCATGAACTGGCTTTTTAAAAAATGTTATATTGTTGTGTGAGGTCAACTTATGACGTTCGCTTGGTTTTTACATTCAAAAACATCAAAATGAATAAGTAATAGGCTATTTTCTACCCTAGTTTTGAGCCTAGCTCAAAAATGCTTGGTTTTTATGGGCGTCTCGCATTGAAGACTTGGAAGTAAACGCCCACTGCTGTGAGTGGATAACAGTTTTGCATATCATAATGAGTTTCGTGTAATGCGAATCGGTGGGCGGGGCTAAACCGGCCGTGTTGAAGTAGGCGTTGATCTTCTTCTGCGGGGGGGGGGGGGTTATCCTCTGTGTCGTCATAGTTCCCCACTTTGAACAACGAGTCGTTTGCTGAGCCTGGTGTCAATAAAAGCTTTTATTGGACTAACAAGGACGTTTTCAGTTCTGAAACTTACAGGATATTCTTATAATATGATGACCTCTTAGATGTCAAAAGCTCAAGGAAAATTTGATTTCTCAGTTCATCACCCCTTTAAGAATTAATTAGTTGAATAATAAGGTGATCTTAAGTTAAGTTGATTGCTAAGTAGGGCTGGGTATCGTAACAAAATGTTCGGTACCGATACCGATACCTTGACTTCGATACCGGTTCCTGAACGATACTTTTTTCGATACCAATTTTATGTAACCAGGTTTAACAATATAACATTACCTAATTTTTTTTTCAGTTTGTTGACTTTTTTACACTCATATTTTGAGTATGTAAAAAAGCACCAATGCTAAAGTTTTCTATGTTTCCTAATCATTTAACAACATGTATTCTTTACTTCAATGAGCTCATTGTTTCTGCTTTAACTTAATGCATTAATTAACGATGAAACTGAATGAAAATTAATTGAAATGCATTACACTGTCACCTCTGATAACAGATCACTCTAAATTGTAATTTAGACATGCATTTTCTGTAAAGCTGCTTTGAAACGATATGTATTGTGAAAAAGGCTATACAAATAAATGTGAATTAAATTAAATGTAGGCTACTGGGGGGCGGGATATATACCTGCACGTGCAGCAAAGCACTGGCAAAAGTAGCCTAATGATTATGGATGTGGAAACAATAGCAAGGAGATATTTTAATTGTTTATTAATGAACAAGTGTTTACTAATGGTGTGTTCACACCGAACGCGAATTTAATTATTTGTGCGAGTAGATTACATACATAGTCAATGCAAAGACGCGAATAGACGCATCATTCGCGCCGGGCGTCGCGAATGACGCGAATTGGGCGACGCGTTTGCCGCGAACGTCTTCCGCGCAAGTTGAAAAATTTGAACTCGAGCTGAAGATTCAAGCGTCGAACTAGACGCGATAGACGCGTATTTGACGCTCTATTCGCGTTCGATGTGAACACCATTACTCTCAAGTGTATTTTGTGCGCTTCAGTGCCTAGATTTACCGTGTTGCCGGTCTTGGCAGCAATGATCTTGTCGAAAATATTGCATCGCGTGCATCTGGCATCGAGTCTGGCACATGACATAGGTACACTTTGGATCATTTCCACATATTTTCTATCTATCTGGGTTGGGACGCACGCTTACACACACACACACACACACACACTGCAGCCTCACGTGCGACGAGCCGCGTCTCTGGGCAGCCGCGTAATCTAGTGTTTTTCCGCCACAGCCAATCATGCTGCATGCTTATTGTTTCACTGACGTTGACGAGATTAACCACTTAGGTACCGAAAAACAAGACATGTTTCGATACTCGGTAGTATCGAGGCAATTCGGTCGGTACCTAAAAAGTACCGAACTCGGTACCCAGCCCTAATCACCATACACATAGTTGACTGCTTGTATGTTGTGAGAAATGTGTGTGATCTGTGTTATGTACTGTTGTATACATGCTACTCTTAACTATTGCATGTCCCTTGTCGGATTAATAAAGTTGATAAAAAAGTAAAGTAAATAGCCTCACTTTAAGTTACGTCTTTTAACTATTGTAGTATTTCGAAGGGCAAAAACATTAACTTAAACTATTGGCTTTACTTCTTCAAATATGGCGTTATTTCCCTGTCAAATGTCGACAGCGCATTATTGTAGCGCGAAAGTACATTAATATAATGCGCGAGCGTGAATCTCAATGCTCGCGCGCGGAATATAATGTGCCGAGCACGAATCTCTCTACTCGCGCGCGGGAACTGGGCGCGCGCTCTGATACACGCTGCTCTTGTAAGAATTTTCTCTGGGCTCGCTCAGAGAATATGCCTGCACTTAAAACGTGTCCAGTGCAATCGCGAATCTCTCCTCTTCGCTTAAAGTAAGCGTGTATGTGCTTAGACTGTGTCCCGTGCGTTCGCGCATGCCTAATTATTCTTCTCTTCGATTTCTTTCTCTTTGCTCTTGGCATAAACGCTGTCAAAACGTCAACAACCAGAAATTGCTATTCCATATTATATGTAGGTTTTTTTTCTTTCCCTTTTTTTCTGCTGTTCTGTAAAGCACTTTGGCCAGCCAGTGGCTGTTCTAAAAATGAGCTATATAAATTACATGAACTTTAACTTGTGAATGTCATTGGTTGATTTTGGTCATAATCCTTGTTGTAGTATCTTGGAGTAACCACTAGGTGTCATTGTATTAAAAAGTGTTGTGTTTGATCCTGGAAGACAGTTGAAGAAGATGTGACATGCAGGAGGCATGGTGTGTATATGTCTGTTGCAACAAACTAAGTAAAGTATTCACTTTAACTTTATTAATGTAGTAGTCCGCTTCTTGTAACGATACTACATTTTGGCGACGAGGATTGTGACACCCGGAAAAAGAAAAAAAAAAGTCTGTGATGACAACAGATTGAGGATTAACCATGGCTACAGGAACTATTGGCTTACTCGCAGCATTTGATGCAAAAACTCAAACATGGGAAGAATATTCTGAAGTACTGGAGCAATTTTTCGTGGCTAATGGAATCGAAGACGAGGGTAAGCAAAGAGCTATTCTCATAAGTGTTGTGGGACCACAAACTTACAGTGTGATGCGAAATCTTCTTAGCCCAACAAAACCAAGTGAAAAGACTTATCCGCAAATGGTAACGATGCTAAAAAATCATTTCAATCCGAAGCCAAGTGAGATTGTACAGCGGTTTAGATTTGATTCAAGAATGAAGAAGCCGACAGAGACGGTGACAGAATATGTAGCAGAGTTGCGTCGTCTGGCACAAGATTGTAATTATGGAGCAACTTTAAACCAAATGCTGAGGGATCGACTTGTGTGTGGCATAGATGATGATCGGATTCAGAGAAGGTTGCTCTCAGAAGCAAATCTGACATTTGAGACTGCTTTTAAAATTGCAGTAGCCACTGAAGCCGCAAGCAAAAATGTGCTCGATTTACAAAATAAATCCGGCGTACAGGCATGTAACAGCGTCTTGTTTAAAGAGAGGAAACCTGATCGCTGGAAAAAGGGAGAAACTGGTGAACAAAAAGAATTCAGGGAATGCTACAGATGCTGTGGAACAAACCACAAAGCAAACAATTGCAGATTTAAGAAGGATAAATGTTATGTGTGTGAAAAAATAGGTCATATTGCCAGGGCCTGTCGCAACAAAAGCAAACAGAGTGAACCCGCAATAAGTGGAAAAGGGGTGCGTCCGCATCGAGCATTCAATGTAACTGAAAATACATTTACATTTTACATTTACATTTATTCATTTAGCAGACGCTTTTATCCAAAGCGACTTACAAATGAGAACAATAGAAGCAGTTAAACTAACAGTAGGACAACAATACGTAAGTGCTATAACCCTATAATTTAATTTTAGTGCAGTTTTTTTTTTTTTATATAGAATAGAAGAGAAGAGAAAGTGTTAATTCTACTGAATCAAGTGCTGCCGAAAAAGATATGTCTTCAGCAGTTTCTTGAAAGTGGCTACTGACTCAGAAGCTCTGGTTGAGTTAGGCAGATCATTCCACCAACAGGGAACAGCCATGGTAAAGGTCCGAGAAAGAGATTTTGTGCCTCTTTGAGATGGTACCACAAGACGACATTCGCTAGCAGAGCGCAGGTTTCTGGATGGCACATAAGTCTGAAGTAATGAGTTTAGGTAAGAGGGAGCAGTGCCAGTGGTTGTTCTGTAGGCAAACGTCAGTGCCTTGAATTTAATGCGAGCGGCAACTGGCAACCAGTGCAATTGTGTGAGGAGAGGAGTGACGTGTGCTCTCTTCGGCTCATTGAAGACTACTCTGGCTGCAGCATTCTGGATCAATTGTAGAGGTTTGACAGAGCAAGCTGGAAGACCAGCCAGGAGAGCATTACAATAGTCCAGTCTGGATAAAACAAAATAATGATAGTGATGAATTTGAAGAAACATTCACTTTGGCATGTGTACAAACTGATGCACTGAAGAAAGTAAAACCCCTCACTGTTGAGTTACATGTTGATGGCAGATTGATAACCTTTGAGATTGATACCGGCTGTAGTGTCAGTCTTATGAGTTAGGAAATGTACAAGGTCAGCTGGAAAGACTCTGAAGCTCCCAAACTGAGACTTACAAAAATCAAGTTGAGAACGTATACAGGGGAGCCATTGGGGATAGTGGGTGTGGCTGATGTACAAGTAAAATACCAGCAGCAGGAAAAGTTAATGCCACTTGTTATAGTGAAAGGAACAGGACCATGCTTACTAGGACGATCCTGGCTGGAAGAACTCCAAATGCAGTGGAGTGAGATAAAGCTGGTGCAGTCGGAGATGACGTTGCAGCAGGTGCTATTCCAGCATGAGGAAGTTTTCAAGGAGGAGCTGGGGACATTAAGGGGCACTACTGCTATTCTTCATGTGCCGACTGATGCCACACCCAGGTTTTTCAGACCTAGATCTGTGCCAGTTGCCCTGAAAACAAAGGTGGAGGAAGAGATTAATCGACTACTGCGGGACAAAATCATCTCACCTGTTAAGTATTCAGAGTGGGCAGCTCCTGTTGTTCCTATCTTGAAACCAGATGGCAGTATAAGATTATGCGGTGACTACAAACTCACAGTCAACAGAGTGTCAACATTGGAACAGTATCCAATACCAAGGGTGGAGGACCTTTTTGCTCAGTTGGATGGAGGAAAACGGTTTACAAAACTGGACATGAGTCACGCATACCAACAAATTATCATGGATGAAAGCTCCAAGAAATACTTGACAGTGAATACACAAAAGGGGTTATTCACATATAATCGGTTGCCTTTCGGAGTTGCTTCAGCTCCTGCTATCTTCCAGAGAACAATGGAGGGATTGTTGCAAGGTATTCCTGGAGTAGTTGTTTATCTGGATGATATATTGCTGACTGGTGTAAATCAAGAAAGTCACTTGAAGACACTGGATGAAGTGCTGGCCAGACTGAAAGAAGCTGGTTTGCGATTGAAACGAGGAAAATGTGTGTTCCTGGCAGAGGAGGTGGAATATTTAGGCCACCGAGTAGATGCACAGGGTTTACATCCTATGGCAATTAAAGTGAAAGCTATTGAAGAAGCACCAGAACCAAGTAATGTTGCAGAACTCAAAGCATACCTGGGCTTGTTGAATTATTATAATAAGTTCCTTCCAAACCTGGCAACGCTGCTAGCTCCCCTACATCTGCTGCTGAGAAAAGATGTTCAGTGGATGTGGAAAAAGCCACAACAAGAAGCTTGTAAAGAATCTAAATCCCTACTAAAATCAGCAGAGGTGCTAGTTCATTACTCCTCCGATTCCGAACTGGTTCTGGCTTGTGACGCCTCTCCATATGGGGTTGGTGCAGTGCTCTCGCAGCGTAGAAAAGGAGAGAGTGTGGAGAAACCCCTTGGGTTCATGTCAAGAACACTTACGTCTGCAGAGAAGCGTTATTCACAGTTGGACAAAGAGGGCTTAGCTGTGATTTTTGGCATCCAAAGATTCCATAAGTACTTGTATGGTCGGGCATTCACTATTTGCACTGATCATAAGCCCTTGATCCATTTGTTCAATGAAACGAAGGCAGTTCCTCAAATGGGATCACCCAGAGTGCAAAGGTGGGCTGTAATGTTACAAGCATATCAATATAACATTTTGTACAAGCCAGGAAAGTATCATCAAAATGCTGATGCTCTGAGTAGACTCCCAGTGCCAGGTGAGGGAGAACCTGACGATACTAATGATCAAGTGTTGATGATGGACTTAATGGATGACTCGCCTGTAAGTGCAACACAAGTGCGGAAGTGGACGTCACATGACATAACACTCTCAGTGGTACATGAGTACATATTAAAGGGTTGGCCTGAGAAAGTAGAGCCTCACGTGTTGCCGTACCATCACAGGAGAGATGCTCTGAGTGTCAAGGATGGATGTGTGACTTGGGGAGCGAGAATCATCATTCCATCACAAGGTCGAGCTGCTGTATTGAAGCAGTTACATCAGACTCATTCCGGCATGTCAAGAATGAAGGGATTGGCCCGATCATACATGTGGTGGCCTGGTATGGATCAGGATGTAGAGAGAGTGGTTCAGAATTGTGAAGTATGTCAAAGTTCCAGAAAGGCACCTGCTCAAGCTCCTTTGCACCCGTGGGAGTGGCCGGGCTCACCCTGGGAAAGACTTCATGTAGACTATGCAGGGAACTTCTTAGAAAGAATGTTCCCCATTCTGGTAGATTCTCATTCTAAGTGGATGGAAGTTTATCCTGTCACACATGCCACGTCCCGAATTACAATTGAGAAACTGAGAATGTGTTTCAGTACACATGGATTACCCAAAATGTTAGTGTCAGACAACGGAACATGTTTTACCAGTAACGAGTTTGAAATGTTCATGAAAAACAATGGCATTCAGCATGTAACGTCAGCTCCTAACCATCCTTCTTCAAACGGCCTAGCGGAACGTGCTGTTCAAACTTTCAAGGAGGGGATAAAAAAAATGAAAGGTGACACGGTGGAGACAAGAGTAGCAAGATTCTTGTTTAATTATAGAATCACTCCTCATGCAACATCTGGGTTGTCACCTGCTCAAATGCTAATGTCACGGAAGTTGAGATCCACATTTGATTTACTTATTCCTGATATGAAGTCCAAAATTCTGAAAAAACAGCAGAAACAAAAAGAAAGCCATGACAAAAGCTGCAAACTCAGAAGTTTTGAAGTGGAAGATTCTGTGTATGTGAGGAATTATGGTGGTGGACCCAAATGGATTCCTGCAGTAGTGGAATGTTGTACAGGACCTCTTTCATACAAGACTGCTCTAGGACATGGACAAACGGTGAAAAGACATGTGGACCAAATAAGAAATCGCAGTACAGATGAGATGTTTGAGACTGCACTACCTACAGAGAATGAACAGGATGGTGACACTTCTGCATTACCTAGTGCAGATGTTGTTAATGCACCGGCCGAAAAGGAGATGGCTTCCCTTGAGGAACAACCATCACTAGAAGGGACTGTTGTAGAAAAAGAGACTAACCAACCTACAACCCTGAGAAGGTCTGCAAGAGAGAGACGTGCTCCGGCTCACTTAAAAGACTATGTTGCATGAGTCAAGTATGTGATAGACAATTAATAGTTGTTGAAGAGTTTAGAAAAACATTAAGAGAACGTTTATATAATGGGAGAATTGAACATTTGAATAACGTTCTTATAACCAAGCAAGAACGTTAATACAATGTTTATATAAAGGGAGAATTGAACGTTCTAACGTTATTATAACCAGGAAATAACGTTAATACAACCAACGTTTATATAACGGGAGAATTGAACGTTCTTATAACCAAGAAATAACGTTAATACAACGTCTAAAAAACTGGACATTTTGAAATTCTCTAGAACATTCAGAAATAACGTTTTTATAACTTAATGGGAACGTTATGAAAACGTTCTTATAACCTAAAATTGTTAGCTGGGGAAGAGGAGAGATTCGCGATTGCACTGATTAGCGAGCCCACTCAGCCCAGAGAGAGAATTCTTACAAGAGAAGTGTATCTGAGAGAGCGTGCGCCCAGTTCCCGCGCGCAAGCAGAGAGATTCGCGCTCGCGCATTATATTAATGTACTTTCGCGCTACAATAATGTGCTCTCGACATTTGACAGGGGAATAACGCCATTCAAACAGCTGTCACTTTAGCGCGAGGCCAGTAGCATACAGCATTAGCACCTCAGCTCCACCCACATCCCGCCTCTTTGCCCATTTTATTTTATCCGGGAGTGACGAGAGGTGAAGCGCTGCCAAGATGGCGACAGTTGGCGACGCCCACTTTAGGCTTCAAAAACGCTCTTCAGAAACCTACAGGTGACGTCACGGATACTACGTCCATATTTTTTTACAGTCTATGGTCTCACACCAGTGGTCCATCAGGTAAAATGGCCCATTTAGGTTTGAGTGTCTTATCTCTTTAAAGGTTAACAGCCAATGACTGCAAAGAATTTCAAACTAAAAGCAGTACTTGACATTTAATAATTGTATTGGTCTGAGGTTGCTAAGGGGGATTGCGGTATGGAAGCAGAATAGTCTCAATTATAAATCACGCAGTTTTCACACATGCGTAGACACTTTCACATGCATGAAACCTAATTCACGTACACACAAAAAAAAATTACGTTACTTTAGTGCGTGTAAAGACGCAGTTTTACCATGTTAAGACGACCAATTTGAACGTGTTTCTTAACGCACACATTCTGTACATATTGAAGTGTACTATTTTAAAAAACCAGACTTACCTTTAGATGTACATATTAATCCTTTAGTTTATTGTTGCATTGCTTTACTGACTACTGTGCTAGAGTAAAGTAGCCTAATGTTACAAATGTATATTAAGTATGTGCTAATTATCATTATACAATTATTATAGGCTATGTATCTTTATTATTTGTTTTAAGTTATAATTTCCAAAAGTATTATAGGCAAACGTACACGTACATATTTATAACTAAATACACACACACACACACACACACACACACACACACACACACACACACACACACACACACACACACACACACACACATTTATTCACTTTCACATGTTTTGTAATTTGGTGTTTAGTTGGTTGTATAGTTTGCTGCAGGCTGATTGATGAGTGCTATAATAAAATTACTACATTATATTTGTTAAATGTGTTATATTGATTATATTTTTATTATTCATATTTTATTTAAACTTGTCTTTAGGAAGCTATAAGTTATAGTGGCAAGAATAACTTTGTTAAACCTTTAGGGGCGGTTTCCCAGACAGGGTTTATATTAAGACAGGAGAAGGCCTTAATCTACATAATCATGTTTTAAAAACACAGATTATGTACAGATTACTAACAAACAAATTTATTTTCTTTTATTCCAAAGCTGATGTGTGCATTTTTGTTGTTGTTGTTGCTTGCATTAAAATAATTGTCTCTTGTTTTTTAATTGCAGTCTTTTTGGTTGCTTCCATTCATGCTTTCTCAGTTCCATGAAATGTTAAGGTTTTCTTGGTTTATTCCATAGGCTGTGACAGTTTGTTTTACAGTTTTTTCAAAATTGCTAAGACACTAAAAGTGGGATTTGAGGCTCGCTTGGTGAAACCATTCACTCATGTACCGAATCTTCAGACCAAGTCTTCAAAAATACAAAGACATTATATGCTTTGCACTCAGTTTGCATTTGAAAAACAAACTTTTTGCAAAACTCTAAGCACATTTCTCTACATTACACACATCATTCAAAACTAACAGCTCATGTGTTTAATTTGGGAAACACTGCCATTTAAATGCCACATTAATTTACTGATGACCTACAGCCAATAATCATGTGGGAAAACACTTGTACATAAATTGATCACTTAGAAATCAAAACTCAGTTTTGAGAAAGAGAAAAATTATTTTTACCCCCTTGAATTTCTGTTTTTATTGTAAATATGTATGTACTGTTACTGTAAGTGTACATATTAGTGCTGGGCAAGGATTAAAAAATTTAATCGCGATTAATCGCATGATTTTCTTGTGATTAATCGCATTGTTACGCGCAAAATTGAATAATAAATTCTAAAGTAGTGTATTGCGCACTTTTGATTTAAATGTACTTCTACAAAAGTGCAATAAAATGTGGTTTGCAAAAACTTTAAACAAATAAGGTGCTTTTATACCAGCAGTATTCCCTTTACACAGTATCAATAAAATATTTCTTGTAAATCTCAACTTAAACATTAATGTAATCAAATCAAATATTTAAACAAAGCTATTTGCCACTGCCAGGGCATTACCTTTTATCTAGCTTGTTAAAACGAGTCCAGTTTTCTTGTTTTTTTTTCTGAACAGGTATCTTGTATCAGGGAGCAGCAGAAACAGTCTATGTAGTCAAAGGGTCATGATCACTACAGATATAAGTTGACCAACGTTACTTCTCTGATAGCAGCTTAGGTTTGGTCATGGCATGCCATGGTTTCCCACGTAAGATTACATTAAACAGAGGTAAAGCCCAATTTACAGAGGTAAAGCCCCTGACGTGCATCTCTCCAAAAATGTAACGTCAATTCTACGCGTACCGCAAGCGCTGTGATTGCTAGAACCGCTCCCCGGGGTTCACACTCTCCCTCTGCATGTGTAATTGCGCGTCAACGCGGACAACGACGCAGAAGTATAAATGAAAACCAACGCGTTGTCTATAGCGTAGAGGCTCCGGCGTAAGTCCGACGCAGAAGTATAAATCAGCCTAGAGTGAGGTGAAGTGGTCGAGCACAGGTGCAGCGACAAGAGGGTGCGTTCCTGTGAAACTGTTGCGGTCATGCAGGCATTCATTATGGTGCATAGCGAGTGTTTCACACTGTGTGTGTGTGTGTTTTGTTTCAACAAAAGGAAATTCAACAGGTGACAATCTACCAGCATTATAGGCTACCATTATAGGACGTTATAAAATATACTGCGCCGGAATAGACTTTAGCCTATAGGAAAACCAACCCGGAAAACACTTTTCAGACTGGATGGAGATATCCAGCTTTATGAATGAATGAATGAGGCATTTATATAGCGCTTTCATAGCTACACTCAAAGCGCTTTACAATCATATCAGAGAATCTCTCCTCAACCACCATTAGTGGTTATTAAATCTGAGGAAATCACGGGATCCGGCCAAATGATTGGATACAGAATGATAAAATGTATCCAGAACGTATTTACGGTGAAGAGGGAGACAGAACGGTTACTGTTGTGTTCTCGACCCAGATAGTGTTGCCTGGACGAGCACGAAAACATTTAAAAAACACTGCCACATAAAGTTTGGACCATTGTGATACTCCGGCGGAGTCTGTGCCCTCGTCTGTAATAGGCAACGCCATGGTAATTCTTGTTGGTAGATTAGCACCTGTGTAGAATTTTGTTGAAAGCCCAGGTGGTTCATAAGTTCATAAGTGATTTATAGGACCGAGCATGATGCCCCTAACACTAATATTGTGAGCCTTTTGCACATATAGGCTAAATGTGGTCTTTAAAGGCAGGCATGACATAAAAAAAATGCTCCATGATGAATGGTCAAATTTTTTATCATGTTTCAATATACTTTTTGTCTGTTTCAAACCGGATTTCTCCTGTATGTGGTAAAAAAGGAGCATGTAATTTTAATGAATGCATTTTGTTCAGGTCGTGGACATCAACACAAGGAGGGAATCAGTTCTTAAATGTTTAATCATCTACTTTGGTGAATCTGTTCACCATCTCATCAAGGAAATTCAGGTACGTACATTGCTCAGCCATCCACGCACATACTTACATACTGTACATACTGGTAGGGCTCAAAAAATTAGAATGTAGTCTAAGTTCAGTAATTTCGGTAAAAAAGTGTAACTCGTGCATTTTATATATATTCATTACACAAAGTGAAATATTTCACGCAATTATGTGCTACTTCTGTTGATTGCAGCTTATAGCTATGGTCACGTATTTTGGCCTCCTTTTGCATGAATTGCTGCATCAGTGTGGTGTTATATGGAGGCAATCTGCATGTGACACCGCTGAATGCCCAGGTTGTTTTAAAGGTTGTATCAGCGATTGCAGGCCCAAACATAAATGATCATATTCATCCTCACGATCCGCTAGCTGCACGCCCCATAAGCAGGCCGTCAAAAAAACCGCGTCTGTAGGCAGCCTCGGCTCCGAGATCTGTACACAAAACGAACAGACCGCTACAGTGCTACCAACCACTCAAAACCAAAGTAGTATTCCAACCAATCACTGACGAGATGAACATGAACATACTTTTCTTAAGGCATACATTTCTGTATTTCAAATACTTTTTTTTTTTTTTTTGGTTCTATGTGATATTTTCATTTTCTGAGATACTCCATCAACTGTCTGGTCAGCACTCTTTATTCATTACTATGTATTGTCTCGCCAGGATATGCCAGCTGATGGACTGGAGCAACCGATGGCCGTCTTAATCAGTGAGACAGACACCAGGGTTCTCATTGAGAGCACAGAGGTCCTCAGAGCTGCTGTAGCAATGTTATTTGGACTAACATATCATGTGCCTAAACCTCAAGTATCCAAAAGAACTGAAATTCACTTTTGAGTTT